ACGAGAAAGCTGCTCGCCAAGTATCTGGAGGTGTTGGTTTGTGTAGTTATTTTGTTCTATGATGCTTCGGACATCACGGGTCGTGGATGTGGTATTGTCATTGGCGACTGCCTTTGTCTTGAAAGGAGAAGCAGTAAGTGTGACTGTTCCGGACACCTTTGTCTTAAATTCGATTGCCTCGGCTGGGGGATGGATGGCTTCAAGAGCCTCACCACGTGATATTTGCCAGGTAATGGTGGATTTGGTTGTGACATTTAAGGATTTGATTGTGGAGAAAGGAAAATCAATATTGTTGTCGAGACAATATTTTTCAAACCATGTGAAGAAAGGGGCTGAGAACTTGTGTTGTATGCAGAAAGCATACCACTTTTCTCTAATAAGGATGGTTTTTTGAGCTGAAAAGGTTTGGAAATACCATTGTCTTTTGGAATCATTGATCGCAGAGTAGAAATCTTTGCGTAAGAAGTCTTTATTGATCTCATAAACCTTTTCTATCATGTAGAGCTGATGAACCTGATGATCGGGATCTTCAAATTAAGAATCATTTGGGGATGGAGGGGAATCATGATGATCTTCGTTTAGGGGAGGGTTTTGCAGACCTTTGTTTTGAGAACTAATTTGTGTAGGTAAAGGAGTGTTACGAAGAGGATGGATGTCTTCTTCCTCAATCTGTATGCTAACATTGTCCTGGTAAACTGGGTTAGCAACTTTTTTGTTTTTAACACCAACGAGGTTTAGATACCTTGTAGGCATTCCTGAAAATGATTTTCGGGAAGGAGCTTTGGAATAGTTTGAGGAAGTAGCATGAGAAAAAGAGGATCTAGAATTTTCTATTTCTTGGATAGAAGGTCTAGATCTTTCTATTTATTGGATAGTAAGTCTATTGGGCCTGTTAGAATTAAATCTAACCTTTACCGTGCCATCAGAAAATTGAGATATTTGTTCCAACCTTTTATGCTCGATCTTTGAAGGAGGAGCTGCATGCTCGAGAGTCCACTCTGCCGGGAAGGTGACTTCATTCCAAGTGATGGTCCTCGGAACATAAGTTTGTGAATTTTCGTCACTAGCATGAAGAAGAAGGGTTTCTCCTTTGGGAGACTCACGAAGAGCATGGGGGCTGACTTGGGTTGTATAGACTTTGTAGTGGATTCTATAGACAACATTGAAGGGTATGGCTCCATCCATAATTTTATAACCACTACTTGAAACATTGAGGGTTAAAGTATAGAGGATTGTTGGATCATCAAGAGCTACTGAATAATTTGGAAAACAATTGAAGTATTGTGGGCCATCAAAAAGACTAGTTTGGCAAACTCCTAACAAAGAAGTTTCAAAATCGAGATGCCTACAATCCCTTAGAGTAAGCATGATAGCAGTGTTAAGCCCCCTTGAGGTAAGAGGTTTAACTGCAACTTGGACAAGCCCTATATGTAGGAATTTGTACTTCTTTTTGTGTTCTACTATGGCTCTTTTTTGCAAAAGTTGGATGACTTCAAAAGGGTTTTTGAGAGAAATAGTTTGTTCAACAGTTTTGATGGAGTATCCTATTTTGAGATTGAAAGTCGAAGATTTGTAAATATCCCTAATGGGAACCTTGGGTATATTCCAAGTATCCCACTGATCATTCTGACCACTATCAATATGCTGTTCTTCTTGGTTAACTCTTCCTCCAAGAGGAGCTGACGATGTCGAAGACATGCTATTGTTGAAAAAACTCATTGAACCTTACCTAAATGACCGTCCGTCCGACCAACCCAAAGCGGCACACCTAGCCTAAACGGGATCCAGGTCCGGAAACAGAAATAAAGAAAGGTTAAATGGGCTTAATCACCACCTGATGGCTCTGATACCATAAGCACAAAGGATAAATAACAGATAATTAACTATTAGAGAAACAGAATAATGAAAAGGTTAAATAATCAACGAAATAATGAAATAAAATATCTGAAAGATTCAAGTTAACATTAAACAACAGAACATAAATAACTTTGAAGAACTTTTGATTAAAACATGGAACTTACAACTTTGATCTTTGAATACAACACTTTTGTTCTGAGCTGAGCTCTTTAGATGAAGTAAAACTAAAAACTCAAACTTAAAAATTACAATTTGAACTGAGAACTTTTGAAACGGAAACTAAAATCTAAACTTGAAAAATGAGCCTGCCTTCAATGTCTTGAGAAGCTGTTATTTATAGGGCCTCGAAGGAGCCTTAGGGAGCTTTGGATTCTTTGGAGATAAGGATGTAGCAGGAGGCCATGTGCAAAGCCTGAAAGGCTAATTTGAGGGGATGTCTTCTGAATGATGCTGGAGGCCATGTACAAAGCCTGAAAGGCTGAATTGAGGTGATGGCCATTGACTTGCCTTGGATTCCTTTTTTTTTTTTTTTTGAAAAGCTTGTCTGTCATGAACACCGAAAGGTGCTAAAAGCCTGAAAATAGAGAACTGTTGAATAAAATTTTAAATTGTAGATTTAAAAGCCTGCAAATTTTATTCATCTGTTTAATATTTTGTAATAATGTTGAATAAAATTCCTCATTTTTGCAAATTTTTTTTTTGAAAAGCTTGATGGCCACTGACTTGCCTTGGATTTCACTCCTAAAGCAAGAGGGCAGGACTTTGAAAGATTCCACTGCTCATGATATTCTTACCCTCAGAAGCCAAATCCTTTTGGGTGCTTATGGTATCAGTGCCATCAGGTGGTGATTAAGCCCATTTAACCTTTCTTCATTTCTGTTTATGGACCTGGATCCCGTTTAGGCTAGGTGTGCCGCTTTGGGTTGGTCGGACGGATGGTCATTTAGGTAAGGTTTAATGAGTTTTTTCAACCGTAGCATGTCTTCGACATCGTCAGTTCCTATTGGAGGAAGAGTGATAGTTAACCAAGAAGAACAGCATATTGATAGTGGTCAGAATGATCAGTGGGATACTTGGAATATACCCAAGGTTCCCATTAGGGATATTTACAAATCTTTGACTTTCAATCTCAAAATAGGATACTCCATCGAAACTGTTGAACAAACTATTTCTCTCAAAAACCCTTTTGAAGTCATCCAACTTTTGCAAAAAAGAGCCATAGTAGAACACAAAAAGAAGTACAAATTCCTACATATAGGGCTTGTCCAAGTTGCAGTTAAACCTCTTACCTCAAGGGGACTTAACACTGCCATCATGCTTACTCTAAGGGATTGTAGGCATCTCGATTTTGAAACCTCTTTGTTAGGAGTTTGCCAAACTAGTCTTTTTGATGGCCCACAATACTTCAATTGTTTTCCAAATTATTCAGTAGCTCTTGATGATCCAACAATCCTCTATACTTTAACCCTCAATGTTTCAAGTAGTGGTTATAAAATAATGGATGGAGCCATACCCTTCAATGTTGTCTATAGAATCCACTACAAAGTCTATACAACCCAAGTCAGCCCCCATGCTCTTCGTGAGTCTCCCAAAGGAGAAACCCTTCTTCTTCATGCTAGTGACGAAAATTCACAAACTTATGTTCCGAGGACCATCACTTGGAATGAAGTCACCTTCCCGGCAGAGTGGACTCTCGAGCATGCAGCTCCTCTTTAAAGATCGAGCATAAAAGGTTGGAACAAATATCTCAATTTTCTGATGGCACGGTAAAGGTTAGATTTAATTCTAACAGGCCCAATAGACTTACTATCTAAGAAATAGAAAGATCTAGACCTTCTATCCAAGAAATAGAAAGTTCTAGATCCTCTTTTTCTTATGCTACTTCCTCAAACTATTTAAAAGCCCCTTCCTGAAAATCATTTTCAGGAATGCCTACAAGGTATCCAAACCTCATTGGTGTCAAAAACAAAGAAATTGCTAACCCAGTTTACCAGGACAATGTTAGCATACAGACTGAGGAAGAAGACATCCATCCTCTTCGCTGCACTCTTTTACCTACACAAATTAGTTCTCAAAACAAAGGTCTGCAAAACCTCCCCTAAACGAAGATCATCATGATTCCTCTCCATCCCCAAATGATTCTCAATTTGAAGATCCCGATCATCAGGTTCATCAGCTCTACATGATAGAAAAGGTTTATGAGATCGATAAAGACTTCTTACGCAAAGATTTCTACTCTGCGATCAATGATTCCAAAAGACAATGGTATTTCCAAACCTTTTCAGCTCAAAAAACCATCCTTATTAGAGAAAAGTGGTATGCTTTCTGCATACAACACAAGTTCTCAGCCCCTTTCTTCACATGGTTTGAAAATATTGTCTCGACAATAATATTGATTTTCCTTTCTCCACAATCAAATCCTTAAATGTCACAACCAAATCCACCATTACCTGGCAAACATCACGTGGTGAGGCTCTTGAAGCCATCCATCCCCCAGCCGAGGCAATCGAATTCAAGACAAAGGCGTCCGGAACAGTCACACTTACTGCTTCTCATTTCAAGACAAAGGCAGTCGCCAATGACAATACCACATCTACGACCCGTGATGTTCGAAGCATCATGGAACAAAATAACTACACAAACCAACACCTCCAGACACTTGGCGAGCAGCTTTCTCGTGTGGAAACCTTGCTTCAGAAAGAGCAAATTATCCCCATTCAATCTGATAATGCTCCCCCTTTCATACCCCATGAAATCCCTTACATTTGTCTAAACAACTATCAAAACGTAGTGCCATTTAAGAAGCACAGGACAGGATTAAGCGTATCGAATCCCTTATGACCTCCACAACTACGATTCCTGATACGCCTGAAAGACCTCTTAGAGCCATCAATACTCTTGACCAAGAAATTTGTACTGATACTGAAATTGATGAAATTACTGAGGTCTTCCAGAACCAACACGTCAATACTTTAGAACCAACTTCTTCTCGAAATTATTATCCCAGGCCAACTTTCCCTAACCTCCAGATCGAAGAACGAGGCCAGTTTTCCCAAGCTGCTTATCATGGTGGTACCATTTATGAATAGAACATAGATGGCAAAACTGAGTATCACATTCTCAATACACTTCAAGAAATGACAATGGTCAGCACTGCTTACAAAACCAAGACTGACTCTTCTGATCATGTTATAGCACAACTCCTAGTAGGAGGATTCACAAGCCAACTCAAAGGATGGTGGGACAACATCCTCACTCCAGATAAACGACAAGCCATTCTTAACTCTGTCAAAACAACTCCTAAAGGAACAATTATCAAAACAGAAGAAGGTGCAAATATAGAAGATACAGTTGCTACTCTCATTTTCTCTATCGCCAAACTGTTTCTCGGCGACCTCTCAATTGTTAGAGACAAGACCTAGCCAACCTTCGATGTCGCAAACTTCAGGATTTCAGATGGTACAAGGATGTCTTCCTCTCAAAGGTCCTCATCAGGATTGATTGTAACCAAGCCTTTTGGAAAAAAAAGTTCATTGCTGGACTCCCCAATCTTTTTGCTGAGAGGATTCGCAAGCATTTTAGATCAAAACACAATGGCCATATTCCTTATGACTCCCTTACCTATGGTGACATCATCAGTACCATCACAGCTGAAGGAATTGCTCTCTGCATCGATTTTAAACTCCAACAGCAAATCAAGCATGAGAATGCCACTAGCAGAAAGGAATTAGGAACTTTTTGCCAACAATTTGGCTTCGAAATCCTAACCTTTCCTTCAAAACGAAAAAGTCACACACGCTACCGCAAACCTTTTCCTAAAAGATACGAAAACAGGTCATGGTATAACAAGAGCAAACCCTCATTTGCAGATAAATATCTCTCCTCTGAGAAAAATAGACAGAAAAATGCCCCTCCTTCAAAACATTTTCAAAAGAAACCTGCCACCTCAAAAACAGATATAAAATGCTTCAAGTGAGGCAAGATGGGTTACTACAAATGCGATTGTAGAGCCAAAGAGAAGATTAATGAGCTCGATCTCCCTGAAACCGTCAGGAGCCAACTAATGCAAATTCTTTTAAACTCTTCAGATGAAGAATCCGAACATGATATCAATGGTATTCAAGAAGATGACTATCATGCTGATACAGATTATGATTCTGATTCTTCCAACCCATTTTTGGATGACCAACCTATCTAAACCAAATGCATCTGTATGATTACTAAGGACCAAGAATTCATGTTGGAACTCATTGACAAAATAGAAGATCTTGATCAACGCAAGGAATGCTTGATTAAATTCACCAATAGCATTGGCCAAAGAAATGACAAAGCTCCCGTTGTTATACCAAATACTTACAACCTTACTGATATCTTTGAAAGATTTGGTACACAACCCCAGATGCCAATTACGATTCAAGATCTCCATAAAGAAATCAAACAAACCAAGCAAGAGATTTCATATAAAATAATGTTTTGATACATTATTTCATCAAAATATATTGCTGTTAAAATAATGTTTTGATACATTATTTCATCAAAACATATGTATATATATATATATTGCTGTTAAAAATTGCCCCCACTGAAGAAAATTTCTGGTTACGCCACTGCCCATAGGGTCCACAAAAACAAAGAGGATGTGAAAAATACAAGGCAACACAAACATTATGGATGAGGCTGATGTGGCAAACACATTGCAACACAAATAGATGGATAGGCACCCTTCCCACGCACCATCATGACACTTGGTGACAAGTGGCCCCCAAACAAACACCATACAGTACACTGAAAGCCTACAGGAGCACACGTCTCAGTACACTAAAAGCCCATAGGATCACACGTCTCAGCACAATGAACGCCCACAGGATCACCACACAGAACACTGACAAGTGGACCCACCTTAGCACAGGCGTGAACCAGACACCAAAGAAACGACATCAACTGGACGCAACAGGAAGCCACCAGCATCGGAAAAAACCATAAGCGGAGGCCATCGGGAGGTCGATATAGCATCTCTATCGACCAATATGACAACAAGTGACATATATCCCGCAAAGGGATTTGAGAAGGAAGGGCATGGCCAAAAGAAATTCAGTAAGGAGCATGTGCTTCCTTGAAGGAATTATTTAGAGGGCTCCCAAAGTTGATAGTAGTATGGCCATGAACGACCAGAAAAGAGAATATAAAACTCCAAAGTGGATGGACATATTCCTCATCAAGGCCGAAAAGACTAGTGCCGACGTGATGATGCCGGGATTGCCTCAAAGCCCCAAAGACCAAAGCCACCGAGGGATCCGCAACTCCAACCACTGCTTGAAGCAAGGAAACCTAATCCAATAGCGAGACTAGATAGATACCAACACAACACAGAAAGAAAATTAGAACTAAAAAATATATAACAATTATAATACCTGGATCAAAGGGGAAACCCGACGCAAAAGTTCCAATCGTGTGGCCACCGGCCAAAACACTTTAGCCAGAAAACTGCCAGAGAGATAAAGCCTTCCAATTGAACCACCCACAGAAACAAGGGACTTGGGATTTCCATGACAACCTACTTTATCAGAGAGTCTGCGAACGGGAAAAGCGCAGTGACCTCTACGGTGAGAGGAAGGGAAATGACCGCCGGGGGGGGGGGGGGGGGGGGGCCTGAGCATCTTCGGGGAGATTTTTTGGTGGAAGCTTGATTCATAAATTAATAAACTTGATTCACACACCTATTGTTACTACTTACTGAAACCACCTACTTCTCTTTCTAAGAGAGGTTAACTTAATTAAGAACATTGTGTGTATCACAATGTTTCCTTCCCTTTTGTTCACATCAATTCAACAGTCCAAAAATAAAAATAAAAAAAATCTCATACTTCAAATAATAATAATAATTATTATTATTTCAAAACATATGGTTAAAAAAAATGAAAGAAAAACAACCCCAACAAATTTTCAAAACATATGGTTAGTCCCAAGCCTCAAAAAACATAATATAAATTATCATAAAATTTCATGATTTTTTATTTTTATTTTTATGTTTATGTTTATGTTTAATTTATTTTATAAGTAGACAAAACCATATACTTTTCAAATATATATATATATATATATATATATATATATATATATATATATATTTTCATTCTCTCATGTTCTATATGGCATGAATATTAATTTATTTCATAGAGTTTATTTTTATTCATCAATATCATATATATAAATTTTTAATACAAATCATTTTTGAAAACGACTAGAACTAGGAATGTCAATTTTTATTGCCCTGCCGGGGCCCCGCCCCATCCCGCCCCGTTAATAACAGATATGGGAACACTTTTTATACCGTTGGGGCAGATATGGATACAAATTTTGTACTCGTTGCGGGTAAGGGTTCAGTATACATATCCTAGGAGCCCCGCCCTGCCCCGCCTCGCTAAGCATATAACTATATATATATATATATATATATATATATATATATATATATATAATATTAATAACTTATCTTAGTGGCTTACTCAGTTACCCATTTCTTATGATCCTAATTTGGGATGTAAACTTGGTATTAAATTTGTTTTTATTTTAGTTATTGTGGAAGTTGGAGCTTAGAACTTCTTGTGATTTGGTTGTATTAAATTTTTATTTTTGTTTATTATGTTATTTGAATTATGTTATATGCATGTTATTTTTTATATTTTTATTGGGATACATAATTTCATTTATGTTGCGCCATTCCCAAGCTTTCCACATTTAAATAGTAGGAACTTAAGTTCTAAAAAGTGGGAGAAAAAAATTTGTTAGCGGGGCGGGCACGGGGGCACAGTATTTCCCCACGGGGCTAGGCTGGACATGAAAATCTAACCCGTCGCGGGTCTCGGGGCGGGCATGGACTTTACAAAAATTAAAAGGGGTGGGCCACGATTTAGGGAACCCCGCTCCAAATCCGCCCCGTTACCATCCCTAATTGGAACTTAGAATTCATTAGTATGTTAGTACTTGTGTTAAATGGTTTAAAAAAATAATAATAAAAATACTAATTTGTTTTTAAAAATTTCTTCTTCATCCAATTATGTTGTAAAACTTTTTTTATTAGTGCACTTTAAGTAAGTATTATGTGTGAAGTTTAGAAAAATTGACCATTGCCAATAAATAGGGGTGGCAAATGGGCGGGTTGGGTCGAGTTTAGGTTGGGTTTAAAATGGGCATGGTCAACCCGTTATGATCCGTAAATTCATTAATTATAATTTTTAATTATATATATATTTTTAGATTTTTTAATTTTTTAATTTTAACTTATTATTTTTTAGGTAAATTGTCAATTAATGGAGGAGGTGAAGGCTCTGGGACTTATTTGAAAAAAAAAAAAAAAAAAAAAAGAATTTAAAAAGTTAAAATTTTCAATAAGGTCACATTGTGAAAATTTAACCACTAAGCTACAACAACAGAATTTTTTTACTCATCGAGCAACCTTAGTTTGGTACTATTTCTAATTTCTTTACATATATATATATATATATATATATATATATATATATTCGAATAATTACTTATATATGTAGATGTTTATTCATTTTAATTAGCAAATTCAATTTTTTTATTTTTAAAGCAGGTTCACAAATAGAGGACAAGAAGGTAGCTTCTGATACATTGGAACTGGACGGAGGATTTGTGATGCCAAAAACCATACCAAACGATGGCTTTGAAATGCTGAAAACCAATTCATTTGGCAACTCATTTAGGTATCTATATTCAAGCATATTGGTTGGTTTTAATTTCATGGAAAATATTGTAGCATGAAAATGCTCAACAGGGACTACGATGCTTAATCTGACAGGCAAAAAACCGTAGAAGAGTTTTATCGGTTGGACACATTAACCAAACATATGACTTTGTAAGTTCACCATTAATATATTTGTCTCATTCCTTGCCATATGCGCGTTGAGTGATAACAGGGGGCAGCTCCTGTATCAAATTGTTTAATTCCAAATTTTTTATTTTTTAAATTATTTTTAAATTTTTAATTTTTTTAAATTTTTTTAAAAATTTTTAAAGTTTTTTTTTTTAAATTTTATTTATTTATTTTAAATTTATTTTATTTTTTTTTAAAACCTTTTTATTTTTTCTAAATTTTGATTTTTTTTTATTATTTATTATTTATAAATTTTTTAAAATTATTTTTAATTATTATTTAATTTTTTAAAATTATTTTTTAATTATTTATTTTTTTTAGAAGAAATTTCTAAAGAGAGAAATTTAGAGAGAAGGAATTGATGAGAGGCAAATTTAGAGAGCGATAATTAGAGAGAATTTTAGAGAAAGAAATGAGTTGAGTGCAATACAGAATACATGTGTGTTGTGTGTTTATTATGTGATGGGTGAAATATGGGACCATATTTAACCTATCTTGACCCTCAAATTAAGTGGTTAAAAATTACCCAATTCATCTTGACTCTCAATTAAATATGGTTCACCAATAATCATTAAGGAATGGACGAATATGGACGTGTTGATGGTTCCTGACCCATTTTACTACCCCTACCAATAACCAATTTCCCTAGGCCCAAGTCCCAATGCAAATCATGATTGTAATTATTTCCTTCTATTATTAAATTTTAATATGTTGTTTTTTATTATTAAATCAAATACGATGGATACTTATTTATCAAATTAGAGATAATAATTTACGGGATAATACTCTTCAAACAAAGTACTGTGCTACTGTATATACCCATTGTGAGTGACGTAAGTGCTGAAGTAAGCAGTGAAGTTACGTGGTTGGTGTCGAATGCTAGAAAATTCTCTAGTACCAAACAACCCTTTGGAATGGACATGAGTGATGATGAACGTGGACTCTTTTACGTATCAGTACATACTCTCCCAAAACTCCAAATGGATTTTCTCGTCAATTCACGCAACTAAATTCTTTTTTTATTTATTTTTTTTTTTTTTTATGAGTAGTAACTACAGAAGGGGTATAAAAGAATAAGAATAACAGCCACCTGATTTTATCTACTATAAATTGTGCAATTCTGGTCCAGACGAATTACACGAATACATATATATAATCTATATATATAGAGAGAGAGTTTGTTATCAGCTCGGTAGTGGATAACAATGGCGGAAGGAGGAGAAGTGAGAAACAAACAGGTGTTACTTAAAGATTACATAAGTGGATTTCCAAAAGAGAGTGATCTGTATATAAGTACGGATAAGGCTATATGCTTGAAGGTTCCAGAAGGTTCTAATGGGGTTTTGGTGAAGAATCTCTACTTGTCATGCGACCCTTACATGCGACTTCTGATGCGAAAAATCGAAGGTCCAAGTGTCTTCACTTCCTTCTCCCCTGGATCTGTACGTCTCTCTCTCTATATGATTACTTACTGCGTTTATGTTAGTAATTATTTATTTGTTATGATGGTAGATGTGCCCTAAGTTATTCAATTCTTCTTAATAGTGTCGTGCTCACCCGTTTGTAGCTTTTGTGTTTCTTAAACGCTCGTTCTTACTCTATGCGTGGGCTATCACCAAGGTTGTTAAAATTGGAATTCTACGCAGAATCGTTTTGGGCTCTGTAGAATCAAAATCGTAGAATCGGATCGTGAATCGTAAAATTCTACCAAATTGTAAAAAAATAATTGAAACTAATTTCTTAAACAATAAAATCTATAAAATATAACAAAAATAATGTCAAAACACATAATATTACATATACATTAGTTCATAAATCTCAAATTATAACAATATTTCCAAGTCCGAATATAAATAAAAGAGAATGTAGTTCAAAATAACATGAGTTTACAAATCTCAAATCTTAATTCATCCATCTCCAAAGTTAGAAACTAAAATTACATATCAAAAGGAATTTTTTTTTATTAACTCTATGCAATAAATAAAAAGACCTTTTTATCTACCAATCCAAGTGTTACGGTGTATGTAACCTTATTAGTCACAAGTATGAAATTAATCAAGAGTTAGCACAACAAATTAATGAATCACATGTTAACTCGATCTCATTATATTATCAGTTTAGACTACAAGATTATACCTTGGCTCGCATATCCGGCAAGTCTTTTAAACTTTTAAATTATTTTTAATTTTTAATATATATGATAAGCCTTCAAAAAAAAAAAAAAAAAAAAAAAAAAAAAAAAAAAAAAAAATTAGTCCAATGAAAATATTGATCATGAAACCAAAATTTGCCTAAACCTATTAGTCACGAGTATGCATCCTTGAAATATAATTGATCTTTTTAATTTTTTATAATTAAACACAAAAATATATTATGGAACATCGACATGCATGGTAAAAATAATTGATATATATATATATACATATATATATTTCTTTTTTTGCCACTAATGAAAAATAATTTATATTTTATAGAATAAATATTTAACTTTGTATACTATACTTGGGCCAGGCCTCTTTTATTTTGTAGCCCAGAAGAAACCAACCAAAAAATAAAAAAAGCCCAAAAATAAAGGCCCAAACAACCAATTTTGTAGAATCGGTAGAATCGGGTAGAATCGTACGTTCTGCCTCCGATTCTACCGATTCTGCCCCCGATTCTACCGATTGAGCGATTCTGTTACGATTTGACTCGATTTTGAGTTCTGAGTCGTAGAATCGTGTGATTCTACGACTCAGAATCGCGATTTTGATAACTATGGCTATCACTAGTCACTCCCGTTCTCACTGTATGGAACCTAGGTTTTGTCACTTTTGTTTTCCCAAATTCGCTCTTACTCTCACTTTTGTTGCGTGTGATTTCGGCTCGTGCCAGTAGCTAGAATTTTTTTTTTTTTTTTTTTTTTTTTTTTTTTTTTGTGTAGGGGCAATCTTTAATAGCAATAATATATATATATATATATATATATATATATATATATATATATATAAAATTTGAACCAAAACAATATATGTAAAAATTAAAACATTAATTCATAATATTTCTATGCAGTACATTTACAACAATTTTTTAGATTATTCATTGTTGTTTCAAAATTGAGTTCATTCAATTAAATATACTAAAAAAAAATCATATTCAATAAGTCAAGAATAAGATTTGAAAAAGAAAATAATACAGTTGCCTAACTATTCTAATATATCACATATGCAAAAATAAAATAGAAACACAAACAAAATTTTGAAAGAACAAGAAGCCCTAAAATAATTTTGATAGTAATAACTAATAATTTTTCTAATTAAAATTATAATATCAAATAATAATAAATTTAGATTATAAAAAAATATATCAGATTACCAGTTTGTGCACTGGAGTCCTGACTGAGTCCCTGTCTACTGGTAAATGGTTGTTCCGCTTGCTTTGTTTGGATTATGGAAAATGTTGAAGATGAATATGTGATGCAAATAATACATTTGTTTGTAGTAAAGTCAAAAGTTTGATAAATATCTTGATGAATTTTTTTTTTGGAAAGTGGTAAAGAATATAATATTTTGGAAAAGTGAAAAAAAATATCATTTTTTCTAGGAAAGTATTAATTGATAGATATATTATATATATTTATAATTGTGGCACTGTCAAATTTTAGAAGGGGGCAACAATACAAATATAAACATCTTTTCATATAAAATTTTAAAAAATTAAAAGTTCATTAGGCCAGTTGCCCTACTTGTCCTTCTATGGCTATGCCACTGCCGGATAGAATATCAGATAATTTACCAATGAACACATTTAGTCCCCCTGTTCCAAAAATTACAGAAAAATTCCCTCCATCAATCTTTGTCCTCGGCAATTACTGCAACCGGTACTTGTCCTCTTACCCAAAAGTTTAAGTTATTGAATAGTACTACAAACTTGCCTATCTATGCCCCCAAGCGTGCCCTCTGACCCAAAAAATTAAGAACTCACCTATATATGCCCCAAATATGCCAAACGATATGAGATAAGTCCCCTCTAGCATTCTCCTCCATTTGTACTCACAACGTCATCATTGTGGTTGGATTTACTTGCCTACCCCTGCCCCCTAATTAGGGGAGGACCTGGACTCCAGTTGGGTGGACGTTTGGCGTGACATCGGAACAATGATAAGTTGTTGGATAATTATGCATATCCGCCTATATATGATCCCAAGCTTTTCCTCTGACCTCAAAATTAAGTATCTCCATTGAGGGGAGGACCCAGACCCGGACTCCACCTAAGCGGGCGTTAAAGTTTAAGTTGTTGAAAAGTACTGCATGTCCGCCCATATATGCCGGAGTCTTTCCCATCCAAATTTGACAGGGACAAGCACCCTCAAACACTTGTGAACTCTAAGTAATGTTGAGGTGGGACATATGGCCTTTTGAGTCTAGAGTCTTGACGCAGTCACTTTCTGTAAGCAATGTTAAAAGTATGGTCTGTAGTAAGTTCACCGGTCTCATCACCTCTGCTTAACGAGAACACACTAGGTAATGGAGGCATTGCAATTTCTACAATAGTTTTACTTTGAACCATGAATAAAATATTGATAATAGGATATCTGGGATTTGCAATTTGAGTATTTTTTGGAAAAGTTAAAAACTATAATAAATTAATGGACTATAAAAATTATGTACAGATGTCTAATTAAACATATGACTATATGCAATAACAGGGATATATTAGTACATGCTCTGTACAGATATATTAATTATTTAGATTTCTAACTTGGTCGACTCTATCTTAAAGAAAATATCAAAGGAAGCTCACACGGTACTCAAAGTCATTTGATAAATAGAATTTGTGTATTGCTTTTTAAAATCATAGATAGAAACATAGGGTAGATAGAGTTTAATTAATTGTGAAATGACTCGAAGTGTGGAACCAACACTGGTTTGCATGCATTTTCACTATGTTTGACATGCTGCAGATTCTTAAAGCTTGTATGTATATATTTTCATGGTGAAAATATGCAGGTGATAACAGGGTATGGAGTAGCAAAAGTTTTGGATTCAGGACACCCCAACTTCAAGAAGGGTGACTTGGTTTGGGGGACAACTGGATGGGAAGAGTATAGTCTCATTACGGCACCCAATTCCCTTTTCAAAATTGAACATACTGATGTACCTCTCTCATACTATACAGGAATTCTGGGTAAGTATCTAGCCTTTTGTCAATAAATCGATCTAACTAATATGATCCGTATGTGTATGGAATTTCCTACTACAGTGGCCATTGAATGTGGAATTTTGGATTTATGCTGAAAACCCTGATTAGTTGATGTTTTCCTAATTATGGGTGGTATGGATGTAGATCCTGTTTAAAATGTCAGTTTGAAGAGGGCATTGTTAATGTGTTTGAATTGTTGAAATTTAAAACTTGAACAAGTTGCAATTCCCTTTTCGTTGTTCTAATCATTGAAGTCCTTTTTACTTCTGGTACATTAATTATACTAATTGTAATTTTTTTTTCTTTTTTAATTTTTTGGGTAAGTATGTCACACGCACACACCCAAAATTGTCCCTTGGGGGACTTGACGTTACACTTCGCAAGTACAGGACATATAACTAGAGCTAAGTTTTCGGTTATTTGTAAATTTATCTGAATTTTAGATACGCCTTTCTCATAGTTCTGTCATAAATATATCTAACGCCCCATCTAATGTTTGTGCATTGTTTCTTATAGGTATGCCTGGAATGACTGCTTATGGTTTTTACGAGATTTGTAATCCTAAGAAAGGAGAATATGTATTTGTCTCTGCAGCTTCTGGTGCAGTTGGACAGCTCGTTGGGCAGTTTGCAAAGTTGATGGGTTGCTATGTTGTTGGAAGTGCTGGAAGTAAAGAAAAGGTGAGTCTTACCTACACAGCATTTTGGCTTTACATTAGCCGTTTCTTGGTTGGATGCTTTGTTGGATATTTGCAGCTCATCAGTTACATATTGATGATCTTCGTTAATTGTGGGTATTTTGATCATGTCTTGTATATTATATAGTCATTCAAAAATTCACAACTGAGAGTTAATTCCATACGAGTTGTTTTATTTATTTATTAATTTCTTGTGGGAAAAAATGAGCCGCTTAGATGATTGAATCCTCAACTAAGCTTTTCGTTATGCTTTTATTTTGAATAAGGTCGATCTGTTGAAGAACAAATTTAGGTTTGATGAGGCTTTCAATTACAAGGAAGAACATGACTTGGATGCAGCTTTGAAAAGGTAAAAAAATTAAATTTGTGGTATCAAATTGTATCTGCATCTGTATACAAGTGGATAGTTACAGTCGAAGTAGCTTAAGTGCTTCAAATACTGAATGCGACGACTATATTGTTGTCTATTGCCAGGTACTGTCCTGAAGGTATTGACATTTACTTTGAGAATGTCGGGGGAAAGATGCTGGACGCAGTGCTCCTCAACATGAGGAACCTCGGTAGGATTGCCGTCTGTGGACAGATTTCGCAATACAATCTTGATGAACCCGAAGGGGTAAAAAACTTGATGTGCCTCGTCTACAAGAGAGTGCGTATGGAAGGACTAAGAGTTTTCGATTACTTTCCGGAATATTCTAAGTTCTTGGATATTGTTTTGCCTTCTATTAGAGAAGGGAAGATAACATATGTGGAAGACATTGCTGAAGGCCTTGAGAGTGGCCCTGCAGCTCTTATAGGGCTTTTTAGTGGCCGAAACGTCGGAAAACAGTTAGTTGTTGTTGCTCGTGAATGATTAAACCTTCTGGTGTACATCCTATATATTCCCACTGATGCATTAAGATTGAACTATGAATAAAATGTAGCCCTTCTTAAATTATATTGTTTGGATCATCCTTGTTTGGGTGTGAGGGATGTTGTATCGATGGCTATATTTGCTAGTGGTTTCATGTACTTTGTAAAAAGAAAGAATGAGATGTGTTGTTAAACAGTATTCAAGTACTTGTTTTGCTTAAGTGCAGCTGTTTTCACATGTTAATGACATAGTAATAAAATGCGTCTCTTTTTATTTATTTATTTATTTTAAGCTCAAGACTCAAACACTAAATCTTTCCTTTGGAGAAGATGGATTCTAAGGGTCTGAATTTGATATTGCATATTTGTTTTTTTAATCCACTTTGTCCAAATAATAATTTTAAATCTACTTAGTTAACTTAGTGGTGATAAAGTTACATACTCTGATTTTTTTTTTCTCCCAACTCTGGCTCCTTTTGGCACCATACTCATGATTAGCGAATAGATTACAATATGTAACTGATCTTCGTTTCTATTTTGTTTGAGTACTTATTTTAACCTACTTTGTAAAGTCAATGACGACGAAATTACTCTGTTTTGTTGTAGTATTATTGCTTTGTCTCCCGCTCTAAAACGACCTACTTGTCAGGCAGTACCCTTGTCCTTGAGGGCTAAAGAAATTTGAGAGGCTCATTTATGCTCTCCACATTCTGTATGTAAGATTGGGATAAGTCTACAGCCCTAGCGGCACAGTAGCACCAGGAATATTTGCTTGGCTTTTGCATAGCTCGGTCTCAGGACCAGCTTACTGCAAATCGAACCGAACACATTTCTGGTATGCTTTAGGCCACACACAACCCATCATTCTCAAATTTTCAAGCCAATTGAAACTACACGCCCTTCTACTCCAACCAAATAACAGGCAGACCCACAAGCCCAAAGGCAAAATACACAAAGAAACTAGCCCAAAGGCTAACACAAAAAGGTGAACATTTATTTTCGAACAAATATAAATAAAAAGGTGAACATTTATAATTAGGAGTATGAATTTTGTGGAGCCTATTACAAGTTTATGTAAATTTGGAGAGTCAAATGTTTAAGTTTTGTGAGACTTAATACTTGAGGTCTCTCTTCGTATCTGATTTTTCGTTTTTTGCTGTGCAGTACGGTGCTGTTTCTCTCTTCAAACGGAGTGATTCACGTGAGTGCTGAATTGTGCAACGAAGTTACGCGGTGGGCGCAGATGGAAGAAAAATCCAGTACCAAACAATCCATTGGAGTGACATGCATGATAACTACTGATTGAAGAACGGACTCTTTTACATATCAGTACATACTCTCCCATACAGCTCGTATCCACATCTCCAAACTCCAAAGGGGTTCTCTTGTCATTTCACGCAACCACTCTCCTTTTTCATTTCTTATATTTTTGTGCATTTGTATCTTATTAGATGTGCCCGAATGAGTGTATATGTTGGTTTTTATGAGATTTGTACTCCTAAGAAAGGAGAATATGTGTTCGTTTTTGCCGACTCATTTGGTGCAGTTGGTCAGCTCCTTGGGAAGTTTGCAAAGTTGATAGGGTGACATGTTGTTGGAAGTGTTGGAAGTAAAGAAAATGCGAGTCTTATCTCTGCAGCATTTCATTTTTACACTAGCCATTTTTTGGTGGATGCTTTGTTGACATCTCCAAGGTAATGCTTCAGTTACATATTGACAATCTTCGTTATTGTGGATATCCTCATCCTAACATGTATATTATATAGTCATTCGAAATTTAAACTAAAATTTAATTCAATATGAGAAAATTACAAAACTAAAACATCTATTTCAAAAAACTGCTACCTCCCTGTAATAGAATAACGGAAACTAGATTGACAAAATTCAAAAGGAACGGAGTATCCAAATACAGATGTTTTAGCTTCACTAATTTGCTCTGATTTTTTGATTCATTTCTTTTGGGGAAAAATGTTGCAGTTAGATAATTTAATCCTCAGTAGTAGCTAACCTTTTAGTTTTGGTTTTAATTTTAATAAGGTTGATCTGTTGAAGAACAAGTTCGGGTTTGATGAGGCTTTCAATTACGAGGAAGAGCATGACTTTGATGCAACTCTGAAAAGGTCAGTACCTTTATTTTGCACATTGAAGTCCAACATAGTGCTTTACAACTCAAAGATTGTCAAAATGCTAATGGTAGAATTAGCATTGATATTTACTTCGATAATGTTGAAGGGTACTGTCCTGAAGGTATTGACATTTACTTTGACAATGTCGGGGGAAAGATGCTGGACACAGTGATCCTCAACATGAGGAACCATGGCATGATTGCTATATGCGGACAGATTTCACAATACAATCTTGATAAACCCGAAGGAGTAAAAAACTTGACCCGCCTCATCTACAGTAAAGTGCGGATGGAAGGATTTGTAGTTTTTGATTACTATCCCCAATATTCCAAGTTCTTGGTTACTGTTTTGGCTTCTATCAGAGAAGGAAAGATAACATATGTGGAAGACGTTGCTGAAGGACTTGAGAGTGGTCCTGCAGCTCTTGTGGGACTTTATAGGGGCCGTAATGTCGGAAAACAATTAGTTTTAGTTGCTCGTGAATGATTGAACCTTTCTGGTGTACATCCTTCTCCCTCTGATGCATTGTGTTTCAAGTATGAATACAATGTAGCCCTACTCAAATTACATTGTTTGGGTGTGAGGGAGTTAGTATTGATTGCACTATTTGCTGGTGGTTTTGTGTACTTTGTAGAAATAAAAAATGCTATTTTTTTCATGGATATGCTAGATTGATGCAATGCTAAGCAATGGATAGATGTTACGTACAACATATGAAAGAGAAATTAGAGAAAAGTTCTTCTCAAGTAGCATTCCTTCAAACATAAAATGATTTTTTTTTGTAGGAAGATTAAACCGGATTCTGTTTTGTGGTGTAGTAAAAAAATCTGATCTATCATATTTCGTTGCACGGTGGTGTATCCAATCGTTCGGCATGTGTAATACATGCCTTAGCATATGTATTACATGAACGGTTCAGATACGCTCGTTCACCGTTAATTAATAAAATTTTTCTCTATATTTCTGAACTATCCTCTTTTGTAATGCACTTCTCATCCTCTTTTGTAGTGCCGTAAAAAAGAGGGTGAGAAGATTAACATAATATAATTAATTTGGGAATACCACTGTATACATTCAAGAAAGCACAATAAAGGGCTTAAAAAGAATCCAGTAGGCTCTATTACTTCTTGATTTCTTGGTACACTGCTCGTAACATTGGCCGGATCCTCTTTTGTAGTGGTGTAAAAAAAATTTCCGATATATCATATTTCGATAAAAATTTCTGATCTATCATATTTCGTTGTAACGTGGTGTATTCAATCATTCGGCATGTGTAATATATGCCTCAGCATATGTATTACGCGAACGGTTCAGCTATGTCCGTTCACTGTTACGTTAATTAATAAAGTTTTTTTCTACATTTCTGAACTATCCTCTTTTGTAATGCACTTCTCATCCTCTTTTGTAGTGCCGTAAAAAAATTTCTTGATTTCTTGGTACATTTTCATCATAATAATCCCTGAACTATTGCATTTTGTTGCAAAATGCTCCTATTACTGATTATTTTTTATTAAATGACTATAATACCATTTCTTATTGAATTACACTTAATTCATTTTTCTTATTAAAATAAATTATGAAAAATTTCATACTAAATTGAAGACGTATTCTCCATTAAATTTGCATAAATTTACTTTTAATTCTTGAATATAATTATTTAAATAAAAATTTTAAGTAGGATTTTTTAAAAAAAATTTAAGTAATTCCTTAATTTGTCATGAATCATGAAAAAAAATGTATTTTTATTTTATTTTAAATTTAAGTAATTTATTAGTGTTTCACAAATATATTGTATGAGACAGAAGGTATTTTTTTACGATAAGAAAATTTAAACTGAATATAATAAATTTTATTATAAAGAGTAAAGTTTTAATAATGAATTAATCATATTAGAAAAAGGTAATTACAACTCTATTTATTTTATTTTAATTTTTAGGATAAATTGATACTAATAATAAAATTAAGATAAATGATATAATTAATATTTAGATAAGAAAAAATATAATAAAATAATTTAATAAGAAGTAGACAGATTTAATGAGAAAGTATATAATAATCTTTTGTGATGAGTTTGTCTTTAATTATAACAAATTATTAATTAAAAGGGATAATTTGTAGTTCAAAAAAATTATTTATAAAAGGATAATAGTTCATATATATATATATATATATATATATATATATCCTTTTTCTATTTTATTAGAACTATGAGTGGAATTCATCAAATAAACTGAGCCGATCCAATCCAATTTATTAATTTGGATTAATTATACTCACATTTCTTTAGATTTGATATATTAACAGCTAAATGAAAATTAGCCATTTTTTTTTTGGACATTGACATTCCAAATAAGTTTGTTCCTTTAAAAACCATGTGAAATGTCTATATAAACCTTTATTATTTAATTCATTAAAATATCAGAAGTGCAAAAAGACCAAAATGCCCATTATAATTATTTTCTATTATTTAATTCATTTTACTACTTTCTCTCTCTAAGGGTCAGTTTGGTAGAGTAGAAAAGGGAGGAAAGGGAAGGGAAGGGAAGGGAAGGTGATGAAGGGGGATTAAAAATGTGTGTTTGGCAAAAATTGTTGGAAGGAAAGGGAAGTGAAGGGAAGGGTTTGGAGGGTTAGCTTGTGCCTTCAACAGTAGATTTCTTAACCTCCCAAAAATGGGAGGAAATGAAGGGAAAGGGAAGGAGAGGCTTGATGGGTGATTTCAGATGCCAATTTTACCCTCAAGATTGCATAGAGAGAGAGAGACCGCCGGTGATTGAAGCTTGGAACGGCGACCCGAACTGGAACAGCAGCCATGGAAACTGAAGGATATGGGTTTTGGATTTTCTGAACAATCTGAAATGATACATCGATACGGGTTTGAACTTTTGATTCTTGCAAACAGATAGATAAACTGGAAATATATGGGTTTTGAATTTCTGATTCTTGTAGAGAGAGAGAGAGAGAGAGAGAGAGAGAGGCCAAGTTCAGTGTTGAGAAGGAGTTGCAGAGATGGAGCGAGATTGGGGAGGCTTTGCCCTATTTTTTTATTTTTCTTTTCTTATGGCCTCAAGTTAAAGACTTTATATATATATATAATAGAGATGGAGGATTAGGGAGGCTGAAATGATTTGCCCTAATTTTTATTTATTTATTTATTTATTATTATTATTTTTTTTTGGCAAGTACATGAAACTATATATATATATATATATATATATATATAATATATAAATATAAAGGGGTATAATAGTCCATATGTTAAAATAATTCCCTTCTATTTCTTTTCCTTTCTTTTCCCAAACATAATTATTGTCCTTCCCTTTCTTTTCCTTCATTAATCAACCAAACGCAATGGACGTTTAAAATTATCCTTCCTTTTCCTTCCCTTCCCTTTCCCTCATAACTAATGTTATCCTTCCCCTTCAAACCCACCGTACCAAACAAAGCCTAAGCTATCATCTAATGGAGGCGCTCTCCTCTGGACACCCACTGATTGGTTGCATCCCACGGCGAGATTGAGGGGATCTAACCGCAGACGTCGAGTCCTGTGAGCCAACGTAAAAGAACATGTCGAATTTGGAGATCTGAGCACCAGAGTGATGACTGAGTTGCCAGAGCAGGCCGTGTTGAAGTATAGAGTCGATGAGGATGTGGAATTGCGGACCATGAGGCCGTACAAGAATGACGACTCTTTGATTTGGGAAGAAATGAGAGCGAGCCGCCGCCGATTCTGCAGGCCGGGGATACAAATCCAAGTTGCTCACCACCGATTACAATATTGTGTGCCAGTGCAAAACCCTAGACGAAATCGTTGATTTGATGACTTTTATTATTATTAATTTTTTTTTTTATTTTTAGTTTATTGAGTTGGATTTGACTGGTTTCTGGGGATTTGAAGCTTTCTGGTCGGAGCTTCTCTTTGTAAGCTCAGATCTCATCCTCTCTTTCTCCTCTTATAGTATATATTTATGATCAGTTTGTATTGAATTATTTATGTATATATGTATTGGGTTTCAGTTAAATTCTTCTCATTTTCTCTCTACTCAAACTTTTTGATGTTTAATTTGCTGCTTGGACGGCCCAACAAGAGGTGCTGTAAGTTTATAGGGCAGTTGGTTGGTGGTCTTGGTTAATTTGATTGATTGATTCATTGATTTATTACCTTTGGAAGGTTTCAGTTTCGAGAGATTTTGATTTTGATCAAGGGTTAATCTTTAGTAAGTTTTTTTTTTTTTTTTTTCGATAATTAAGGATTGATCTTTAGTAAGTTGGTAGTCTGAGTTGTGTGTTTTTTTTGGGTTTGAATCTTCAAAGAGTCTCTAACATCAATTTCGATGGATGGTGGTGGAGATTGCCAGTGCTTTGTATATATATATATATATATTGTTTTTGTGGTGAAGGACTGTGATGGTGGCGGTGTCGTCTATGGTGGTAGAGGTGGAGATAGAGAGAGAGGGGGTGGACGGTTTTGTGCAGAGAGTGAAAGGGGAGACAATTGAGGGTTAGTTTGGTCTAATAAAATGACATTTAAAAGTCAAAGGAGTAATATTGTCAATTCACCATGTGACAAGTTATTATTGGGTTGTAATGTCATTGTTTCGAAAGGGAGGGGTGTCAAAAAGAGAGAAACTTTTATCTGATTATCTGACTGTCAAGAAGATAAACTTCTTTGAGTGTAATTAACCTATTAATTTTAATCGATTAAAGTTCCGTACACAATGATATATAGTATTATTTTATATCCCCATCATTGTTCCACCTATTTTTCATGGGCTTTCATTTCAACGTGGGACACAGAGTAACATTCTTTTACACGTGTTGACTTTTATAATCAACCCTTTTACACATGTTTTTTGTTTTTGTTTTTTCTAACTTTATATGGTGGCTATATATGAGTGAGTGGCTTTTTATAAAGCAAGAACATCGTGTGTATCACATGGGTATATTATAATTTTCTATTTGTTTAACTGCTCATTGTTTATCACATGGTTTCCTTCCCTATCAATTCAAGGGACGGAGCCAACGTTGGTAAGCAACTTATAATATATATCGTAATTTTTAAAAAAAATTTTATATATATAAAAAAATTTATATAGTGCCCCCCTCAATTTTCTAATTTCTAAAATTATATATTTTTTTTTTATTTTTTGTTTTATTCTTCACATTTTTTAAATTTCCTTAATAGAAAAAGTCAAAATTTTCTTCCTCAATTGAAACTTTTCAACTATTTTCCTTTAAAGTTCTCTCATTTTTCTTTCTTTTTATATTTTAATATATATTTTTTCTTTGTCTTTTGAATTTTATAGTTATTATATATATATATATATATATATATATACTCCGTTATTGTTTTTTTTTTTTTGGCAGCGTGCCCCCCCTCACTTGAAATCCTGGTTCCGTCACTGAACACTCCCAAAAAAAATATATATATATATATATCTCATACTTCAAATTATTATTATTATTATTATTATTATTATTATTTTGAAAACATATGGTTAAAAAAAATGAAAGAAAAACAACCCCACCAAATTTTCCAAACATATAAAATTTCATGATTTATTTATTTATTTATTTTTATGTTTATTTTTAATTTATTTTATAAGTACACAAATCATATACTTTTCAAATTTATTTGAATTTTTATATTTTGTT